ATTCAGACAGCCAACAAAAACATGAAGAAATGTTCATGATCATTAGCCATTGTTCTTGTTGTTAAGTACCCTTGAGTAAGTTCATTAGCTACTAGAAAGATGAAGGTTAAAACAACAATGAGCCCAGCATTAATAGAAAAGTTCAAAAGAACAGAAAGCAACAATGGCTGGTGAGAATGTGGAGAGACCCTCCTACATTGATGGTGGGACTGTAATACAGCACAACCACTGTGGAAAACAGAATGATGCATCCTGCCCAGGTAGGAAATTGCAATACCATATGACCCAGCAATCCCTCTACTTGATATATATCCCCAAGGAATAAGAACCACTACACTAGCTGATATATGCACACCCATGTTCATCACAGCACTTTTCACAATAACAAAAGAGACAGCATAAATGTCCATCAATGAAAGAATGGATAAACAAATTTTGGTACATATACAAAATGGAATACTACACAACATTGAAAAATAACAATGAATCTGTGAAACACCTCATAGCATGCATGAATCTGGCAGACATTATGCTGAGTGAAGTTGTTGTTGTTGTTAAGTGCCATTGAGCTTGTTCTGACTCATAGCGGCCCAGAAGAGGGTTTCCAAGGAGCAGCTGGTGAGTTTGAACCACCAACCTTGCAGTTCAAATCAACCTTGTAGTGGAATGTTTATCCTATAGCACCACACCCTCAATCACAAAAGCATAAATATAGTATGAGACTACTATTGTAAAAACTCAAGAAAAGTTTTCATGATAAAAGAAGCATTCTTTGACGGTTACTAGTGGTGTTAGGGAAAGGAGAGTAGTTCACTGACTAGAGGGTAGACACATGTTAACTCGGGTGACACAGAAGACAATATACAGCAACAAAGAGGTTGGCAGAAGAACAAAGAAGACAGGTGAAGACACAGGGAGTAATGCAAGGCTAAAGGAGATAGAGGTATATACACAACTTTGGAACAACAGTGTTCTATGGGTGGATACATGGACAGATTCACTGACTGAAAGGGTATTTGAGGACGAATTGGGAGTATACCCACAAATATATAAGAGATTGAAAGAGAATATTTGTAAATGGGTATTTACACACCTATGAATGTGGTAGAGCATATAGGGGACAAAAAATAAAAAAACTTCTTAGACATCACCAAACATCTTAAGGCAATGAGTTACTGGGCATGGAGGTTTAGGACTATAGTCACAGGGGACACCCTGATCAATTAGCATGACGTAGTCCTCAAAGACAATGCTCTACATTCTACTTTGTGAGTACAGACTAGGATCCTAAAATATCATGATCAGTTATCTAAGATGCCACATTGGTTCTACATGTGTGGAAGAAAGAAGAATAACGAAAACTGAAGATACTTGGAATCAACTAATTCTATGGGCCAATGAAACACATGAACATTAGTCTCCATGACTCTGAGACCAGAGAATAGACATAGTGCCTGGCTACATCATTGCTCTGAAAGGGATCACATTAGAAGGTCCTGGATAGAGTAGGAGAAAAGGTGGAACAAAACTCATTTTTTCAAAAAATGAACCAGGCTTACTGGTCAGAAACAGACTGGAGGAACCCAGGACTATGGCTCTGAAACACCTCTCAGAGATGAACCCTCATGACCCAATTTTTGGCTAAGCAGTAGATAGATATACAAAGGGGACAACAACACTTGTAAAGTCTTGAAAATGGTCAACCATTCAAATCAAAAGGGCAACATTTATCTAAGAATAAAGTTGAGAACTGATGGGAAGGAGGTTGGAATGGAAATAAGCACCACAGGGAGGAAGTGGGAAATCTGTGGTTATGTGGAGGGAATTGCAATTAATGAGATGAAACAAAGTGCATTATTTGTTGAATGTGAAACTGATGATCTTCTCTTAATTCACAATAAAAAGTTTCAAACAAAAAGATAACATGTGCAAAACATAAAGGCATCATTTAGATTTTGTCACATTTTTCGTTTCTGATGTATACAAATAAGATGCATGTTTTTCTCTCAATGACTTCTACAATTTACTTTTCTGCATTCTAGAATGTTTCTATGACTTAGCCCTTGATAGGAAAAAGAAAAATTTTATACACTCAATTTAGTCCATTCCACTTGTTAATTTACAGGAAAATGGAAAGAAATGGCTAATAAATAGTAATAAAATACTCTTCCACAATTTAGTAATGGAGAAGTGATAACATGGAAACTATGACTTGTAATAGAGAAATTAAAAATATTTGTTTTTACCATAACTGAATTCTTGCTGAATTAGGCTGTTGTTTCTCTTTTCTAATATGGCTGCCTAGGAAACTCTCCCTGTGACAAGCTCTTACTATTTGGTTGTTGCTGTTGTTGTTAAATGCCATTGAGTAAGTTCCAACCCATAACAACCCTGTCTAGGATTATCAAGGAGTGACTGGTGAGCTTGAGCCACCAACCTTGTAGTTCAAACAGCTTTGCAGTCTGACACATTAACTCACAGTGCCACACCAAGACTCTGGTAGCACAAAATTTAGAGGCTGTTTTCCTCTCAGATTAAATCACACATACAGAAAAAACACTCTAAGGAAGGGAATCCTGACACAGCTGTCTATTGTATAAAGTGGATCAGAGAAATATCTCTTTGTAAAAAAATGATATTTGAGAGAACCTTGAAGCTGGCTTTATCTAAAGCTCCTCAAACCACTTAAAAGGTTTGGTTTAACAAACCATTTTGAGGATATGAGCCCCTAGTACTGAAATGAATCTTCACCCATTCCTGAGATACCTGACTAAAGCTGTTTGAACCTACACCTGTGAGGTTTCATCATCACACCTGAAATTTATAAAACAAAGTCTGAGAAGCCTTGTAATTCCTGAAATCAATGACTATAACTATATTCAATCATCCAGTCATCCTTGCCTTCTCATGCATTTTTTACCTGTTTTTGCTGTTGTTAATGGCAGACCAGTTAATTCTGACTCATTGTAACCCCATGTTTGGAAAATAGAACTGCTCCATTGGGATTTCTTTTGTGTGTTTTTTTGTTGTTGTTGTTGTTTTTGCTTTTTTAATTTTTTATTGTGAATTGAGTGATAGTTTTAATGGGAGAACATCAGTTTTGCACTCATCCTATTGTATTTTGCTTCATTGCAATCCCCTCCATACATCTTCATTTAACATTATTTGCTTCTGTTCCCTCTGTTTTGTTTTGTTTTTATGTACATAAATACACTCAGGAATATATAATTGTTTAAACAACCAAGGGGTACATGCTGCAAGCCAGCCTCCTGGCCACCCGCCTTTCTCTTTCCATGAGTCTGGAGTCCTCAGCTGCTCCCTCTCTCCATGTCATCAACTCTGCTTACATCTCTGGTGTTGCTGTTTCTCTGGTTAAGTTTCCATGTTCTTCCCATGCTCTTCTTTCCCCTTGATGGCCTAGGATCCTCTGTTCCTTGAATGTAAGATTAACTACTCTCCCCTTTTTGTTATGTGAAACTTCTACATTGACAGTTCTGACAATAGCATTAGTCATGATAACAATTACTCACTATTCAATCAAATGAATCCTATCTGTATCTCCTTTCACCAGACCCATCTAGGCAAGATGAAAACTAGTTAGTGGGGATTCTACCTTCTATTGCTCACTCTGAAACTAAACTCCCTCTTGAAAACTTATAAGCCAGCCACTTTGTGCCTCTATGTTGTTGTTGTTAAGTGCCGTCGAGTCGGTTCCGACCCATAGCGACCCTGTACAGGGTTTCCAAGGGTGTAAATCTTTACGGGAGTAGAAAGCCTCATCTTTCTCCCACGGGCGGCTGGTAGTTTCGAACCGCTGACCTGAAGGTTCGCAGCCCTAGGTTGCCAATGTTTAAGTTACCCATCCCTATCAACCCTGTATACCAAAGGGATAGGTTTGATCTTAATGTAAAGACTCTTTCCCTTCCAGTTGGTATTTTGAGTTACTACATCAATAAGTACAGGTCAAGTTCACATATTGTAGCAATTTACACTTGTTTCCTTTCTCAAATTTCTTTGTGTTCCTCTAGTTGAGCTCTGGTCATCAAGCCTCCATAGGGCTTTCAGAAGCAGATGACCAATCCTGGAATCTAAGTTGTCTCTGGGTGAACTGAAAACACCAATCTTTTAACTCATAGTCAGTCAAGCACTGAACTTCTAATATCACCCAGAGACTCTTTATGAAGCTACAACTAAAGTAGCAAATTAAAAACACCAATTTATGCTCAGTTGTTCACCTGTTAGAATTGATGAGGTGTCTGATTTCTCTGGGCTCCTGATTGGTCATTCCCTTTGTGCTCTATGGAGCCTTGGGGAGTGCTCTCCTGAAATAGTTAAACCTGGTGATCATTTGAAGGTTTCATGCCCAGGTCTCCTTAATCCAACTCTTCCTCATTGTCTGTTTCTGCAGGAATGAAAACTAAGAGCTGCCCCACTGCTGCCTCCTGTTCAGGTAAGATACCCCTTGATATCCCTCCAGGTTCCCCTGTTGGTTCTCAAGGGATCCTCCTTTCCAACAGGCCAGTAATAGAAAGTGCTGCTACCTTTCAGACAAAGAGAAGCTTCGACTCAGGGGAGGAGACACCATGTGCTCAGGGAGAGTGGAGGTTTGGCACCAAGGCTCCTGGGGCACGGTGTGTGATGACTCCTGGAGCCTGGCAGAAGCCGAGGTGGTGTGTCAGCAGCTGGGCTGT